GAAAAAGACCAAGACGGAGAACCCCTTGGTCCTCATAGATGAGGTGCGTGCCCGCCCAGACCTCCCTGCCTCCCAGCCGCCCCCAGGCCCCTCCTGGGAGCATGGGGAGGGCCGGGGAGTGGGGCGCTGCCACAGCACCTCCTTCCACCGCCCCAGGTGGACAAGATCGGCCGCGGTTACCAGGGCGACCCGTCGTCAGCGCTGCTGGAGCTGCTCGACCCCGAGCAGAACGCCAACTTCCTGGACCACTACCTGGACGTGCCGGTGGACTTGTCCAAGGTGCGGGCCCGCGCTCGTGTGAACGGGCTGTGCCCGCGCTGGGGGAGGCGGGCCGCGGGGCGGGGCACCTGCCTGGCCTCCAGCGCCTCCTGCGGCCCACAGGTGCTGTTCATCTGCACGGCCAACATCACGGAGACCATCCCCGAGCCGCTGAGGGACCGAATGGAGATGATCAACGTGTCGGGGTACGTGGCCCAGGAGAAGCTGGCCATTGCGGAGGTGAGGCCCCCTCCGTCCTCGCGGGCAGGAGCCACAGGGACCCGGTCTGTTCCCCAGAGGCGGCTTGGAGAGAGCCGCTAGCTGGGCCTGGGGGCGGGGCCGTGGGGGTGGAGCCTGCTGCGCGCAGGCCACGCCCTCCCCGCACAGGCCGCGCCCCGGGCACTCATTGGCTGTGTGGAGGCCTCGGCCCGCCCCCGCCGGGGGGAGGGGGCCGCGGCCTGCCCCGTGTGCCCAGGCAGGCTGAGGGTGGGCGGTGGGCGGGCGAGGCCCGGCCCGCCCTGAGCCTGGGTTCGGTCCCGCAGCGGTACCTGGTGCCCCAGGCCCGCGCCCTGTGCGGCCTGGACGAGACCAAGGCCAAGCTGTCGTCGGAGGTGCTGACGCTGCTCATCAAGCAGTACTGCCGGGAGAGCGGCGTGCGCAACCTGCAGAAGCAGGTGGAGAAGGTGAGCCCGCCCGCCCCGCGGCGCGCTGTCCCGCGCGGTGCCCGCACCCTCGCCCCCGCCCCGCCTCACCCCGCCCGCCCGCCCGCGCCAACCGCCCAGGTGCTGCGCAAGTCGGCCTACAAGATCGTGAGCGGCGAGGCGGAGGCGGTGGAGGTGACGCCCGAGAACCTGCAGGACTTCGTGGGCAAGCCCGTGTTCACGGTGGAGCGCATGTACGACGTGACGCCGCCGGGCGTGGTCATGGGCCTGGCCTGGACCGCCATGGGTGAGCCGCGCGCCGCGCCGCACTGGCGGGGGTGCGGGGGGGACCGGGTCCCAGCGCCCCGGCAGCCCCCGCTGAGCCGCCCGCCTCACCCGAGTCCAGGCGGCTCCACCCTGTTCATCGAGACGTCCCTGCGGCGGCCGCTGGACAGGGAGGGCAGGGCGGACAAGGACGGCAGCCTGGAGGTGACGGGCCAGCTGGGGGAGGTGATGAAGGAGAGCGCCCGCATCGCCTACACCTTCGCGCGCGCCTTCCTCATGCGCCACCAGCCGGGCAACGACTTCCTGGTGACCTCGCACCTGCACCTGCACGTGCCCGAGGTACTGCCCCTCCCCCTCCCCTCCCCCTCCCGCCTCTACCCCCTTCACACGCCGCAATGCTCTGCCCCCAGGGCGCCACCCCCAAGGACGGCCCCAGCGCCGGCTGCACCATCGTCACGGCGCTGCTGTCCCTGGCCCTGGAGCGGCCGGTGCGGCAGAACCTGGCCATGACGGGCGAGGTGTCGCTGACGGGCAAGATCCTGCCCGTGGGCGGCATCAAGGAGAAGACCATCGCGGTGAGTGCGGGGCCGGGCCGGGCGCGGGGCGGCGGCTGCCGGCCCGGCTGACCCCTCCCCTGCCCTGCAGGCCAAGCGCGCGGGCATCACCTGCATCGTGCTGCCGGCCGAGAACAAGAAGGACTTCTACGACCTGGCGGCCTTCATCACCGAGGGGCTGGAGGTGCACTTCGTGGACCACTACGACCAGGTGTTCAGCATCGCCTTCCCCGGCCCCGAGCGGCAGGCCGAGGCCGAGGCCGAGGCGCTGGCCGTGGAGCGGTGATGGCCGCAGAGGCCCAGGGACACTGACCCCGGCCCCCGAGGGGCCGCGGCCCAGACACACGGCGCCCAATCATGGCGGCGCGCCCGGGCCCTCGTATTTAATCATGAGTAAAGACGCATTCGCACAACCCGTCTGCCTCCTGTGTTTCCCGCCCGAGCCCAGACAGAGGCGCCACGCACGCAGGTCGGGGGGAGCAGAGGTTTATTGGGGGGGCGGCGGTCTCAGTCCTTCTTGGCGGCGGCCTTCCTCATGGCGGCCAGCACGCTGCTCAGCTCCTCCCGCTTCCTCTTGGCGCGGATGTGCGTGCCCACCTGCGGGGAGGAAGCGCGTGGGCTCGGGCCCGCACCCCCGGACCCCGCCGGCCCGCACCCCCGGACCCCGCCGGCCCGCCGACCACCTACCCTTTTCTTGATGAACTTGAGCGCCCGCTTGTCCTTGGACACCTTGAGCAGCTCCATGGCGCGCCGCTCGTACGGGGCGAAGCCGCACACCTCGCGGATCATGTCCCGCACGAACTTGGTGTGCTTGGTGAGGCGCTGCGGGGCGGGGGCTGCGTCAGCGCGGCCGGGCTCGGACCTCAACCCCCGCGCCGTGGATTCGGGGGTCCTGAACCCCGGGGAACCCCCCCGCGCTGTCGCGATGCCTCGCCCTCCCCTCTACATTCCAACCTCTGTCAAACTCCTACTCAAGCGGCAGGACCCCAAGCCCGGCGGCTCCCGCCCGCCGCGGCTCCCTAGAGCGAGGTCCCACGGGCCGGGCCCAGCGCACCCGGCTCCCGCACTCACCCCGCGCCGGCGGCTGTGCCTCGGCTTGCTCACGTTCTTGGTCACTTTGTGGCCCTTGTTGAGGCCCACGGCCATGGGGTAGCGCAGAGCCATGGCTGCGGGGAGAAGATACCGAGTCCGTGCGTGGCCCCTGCCTCCCGGAGCCCCGCTCCCAGGCTCCCTTCGGCGCTCTCCCCACACCCAGCCACAGTCTAAGCGGACTACAGTGCCAGGGACCGCGGATGGCAGCGGATGCGGGCCAGGGATAAAACACAACACCAACCTGCAATTCTCCGATGGCTGCGGCGGCGGAAGGGCCGGCACCGCACGGAACTCTGGGATATTTACTCCGAGCTGGAGTCGTGGGCTAGAGAGACGACGGCAGCACGCGCGCCCCCTGGCGGCCGGAGGCCCCAGCAACATATCTGAGCATGCGCACCGGTGCTTTCCTCCCCCCCCCCCCCCGCCCCCGTGCGTGCGCATTTCCTTGGGAATTATCCGACACCGCCTCCACCCGAGCGGGCGTGGCCTTGGGTGCTGGGGTGGGAGTTTTAAGAATTTGGTTTGTTTTAACCCCGCTGAACACCTCGCTATAGTCCCTCAAGTTCGAATCCAGGTGAGGGCTGCGAGGGGTGGTGCGCGCCTGCAATCTTAGCACTCCTGACAGGTTGGAAGCCAGCCTGGGGTACCCAGCAAGTTGCGGGCCATCTTGAGCTGTCTCTGATGAAAAGTTTTGAAAAGGTCGGGGAAGGTGTTTGAGTGGTGACGTTCTCCTCTAACAAGCCCCAGGCCCTGAAACGCAGGACTAGCCGGGCGCTGGTGGCTCATGCCTGTAATCCCAGCTACTCAGGAGGCCGAGATGAGGCTCAAAGCCAGTCTGGGCAGGAAGGTCTGTGAGACTCTTACCTCCAACGAATCACCATAAAACCGGGAGTGGTGCTGTGGTTCAAAGTGGTAGAGTGCTAGCCTTGAGCAATATTACTCAGAGCGCCCAGGCCCTGAGTTCAAGCTCAACGACTGACCCCTCTCCACCCCCCAAAAAAGGTAGTACTGGATGAAAATGGAAATTGAATCCCACTTCAGTCAAAGGCAGGCCCTGTGCCTGCAACTTAACTAACCTTTGAGATTCGCATCTGTGCAATGCAATTAATAATGCCCTAGCTCTACAACTATAAACAGGGGCCTAGGTGTTCTGCAAACACCTGGCACTGCACCCCTGGTGTCTAATGATGCAATTTAAGGTGCTGATGGGAACAGTGAATTGGTGGAAAGAGAAAGGTTGCAGATTTTTTTCTTTTAATCCCATTTATCCTCATGAGTGTCAGTTTGGGAGTTGCAGAGTGGGCCCATTATTTACAGTCTGAGATCCTTGGACAGAACAAGGCGTAGTGTTTAAAACGTTGTATTCATCCTCTTTCTTCTTCTTTCACTGATTACTGGGGCTTGAAATCAGGGCCCACAACTGTGGCTCAGTGATTCCACTCACAGCTGGTGTTCTACTCTTGAGCCTCCAGCTTGGCTTCAAACCACAATCCTTTGATCTCCACCTCCTGTGTAGCTCAGATTACAGGCATGAGCCACTAGTGCCCAGCTGTTGATAGCTGTAAACCATTGGTGGTTTGCAGATAGATAGTTCAAATGGGGCTGGTGCAAGAACCCCAATTCCTGCCCCCTCTTCCCTCCCCCCCCCAACCCTCTGTGCTTTGATTACAAAATAGGAGCACCCTTGGGCTGGGAAGAGGCCGTCTTGCAGGTCTGATGAGCTGCGGGTCCCCCTTTCCACCCACCGCTGGGGTGGCCGGTGAAGCCTCCATACCTTTCTACCTGAGTAGTTCCGGCCCCTTTCCCTGAGAAATTTGAGCAGGTGGATGGAAGCAAGGCAGGAACTTTTATTATGAAGTGGGGAGCTCCCTCACCCTCCTCCTCACCCTAAGACAAGAGTTCCAGAACTGGGTCTGGAGAAGGTCCTAGAGGTCGGGCTGGGAGCTGGGGCAGGCCCCACGGGCGGCGTGACCCGGGGTTGGGTCACATCACTGTCATGGGCCTCAGTTTCCCCGTCTAAAAAGTGGAGGCGATGACGTCACTAGCGCCGGCCCGGTGACCGGAGGCGCGCACGTGGGGGGGGGGGGGCGAGCACCCGCACCGGTCCGCAGCTCGCTTCTGCCTTTCTGTCCTGGGCTGTGGCCGGCGGCACGTCTGCAGGTTGCATGGGCGGCGGGATGGACCGTGAGGGCCGGCGGAGGGCGGCCCCGGCCCCGGGGCTCAGGCCGCGGCGGCCGCGGACACGTTGAGGTCCTGGCGCACGAACCAGGCGGGCGGGCGCGGGAGCCAGCCCCGCAGCAGGCACAGCAGGTGCAGTCGCCACGGGTAGAAGACGCCCGAGGCCCGTGTGGCCCCGCCACGGATCACAGCCAGGGCCGCCTTGGGCCCGGGAGCCGTCCTGGCCCTCGAGACGCCCCTGGGGACGGGAGGAGCGCGTTGGGGGCGGCGTGAGGCTGGATGTCTCCCCCCCGACTGGACCCCAGTCCCCTGTCCCCCCACCCCGGCCCCACCTGACCCCCTCGGCGGCGGAGGCGCGATCGCGGAGGCCCAGGACGCACAAGGTGACCGCCACGTTCACGTCCTGCACGTCCAGCTCCCGCCGCAGGGAGCCGAAGAAGCCGTCGAGCGCGAACTTGGCCGCGGAGTACGGGATGGAGAAGGACGCGGGCACGCGGCCTGCAAGGCAGGAAGTGTGCCCGCCTGCCCCGGCCGGGTCACCCGCACCGACCGAGCGCTCCCGCACGGCCCGAGCCGCGTGCACGCACCGAGCAACGAGGACACCACCACCAGAGAGCCCTTGCTGTCCGTCAGGCTGGGCAGCGCCAGCGAAGTCAGCTGCACGTAACTCAGGAAGTTCACCTGCGAGTCACAGGGCGGAGGCGGAGCCCAGGCCTAGGGGCGGAGCTTAAACCCAATGGGGCGGGGCCTTCTGATTGACACGAGAAGGACCTGCTAGGGGCGGAGCCTAGGGCCCAGGGGGTGTGGCTTGCAGAGCTGAGCGTCAGCCAGAGGAAGGGGCCAAGTCAGGGAGTGGGCGGAGCCTAGGAGTTGGGCGGGGCGGGGTCAGAGGGCATTTTGGGCGGCCAGCCTGGGGTGCAAGCCCGACAGAGGGAGTGGGGCTAAGTTTAGGATGCGGCCCGCACCAGGCCTGTAAAAGCCAGGAGGCGGAGCCAATGAGGGAGAAGGCGGTGTCTTGTGGGCGGGGCCTTGGAGAGGGCGGGGCCAAGGCCGAGCGGGGCGGGGCACCTGCATGAGCCAGCGTGTGGTCTGGGCGCTGCGGACCCGCATGCCGGCCGGGGTGCTGCCCATGTGATTCAGCACAAGGTAGTCCAGCCCGCCTGGCCCAGAAAGATTGGTCAGCATGAGGTGGCCCTGAGGGGTCCCGACCCTGGTCCATGTTAAACTGAGTCCTGGGCCTCTCCTCCCTGGTGTGGTTCCGCTCTCTCGCATTGTCTCGCCTAAAGCAGCACCCAATCTTGAGATCCCTGGGTCCCACAGAATTTCAATCCTATGCAATGTGGACAGATCCACAATTCCATATCACCTCCCTGCCCCTCCCCCCCCAAACGCCCCAGGATCCTGAATGTCCTCGCCCCTCATGTCTGGTTTACCCAGCTAGTCTAGATCCCAGGTTCTGCCCCTCCCCCAAGAGCCCAGGTCCCCCCCTCCCCCCCCCGCTGGTTCAGACCCCCCCCAGGCCCCGCCCCTCACCCAGCTTGTCCAGACCCCCCAGGCCCCGCCCCTCACCCAGCTTGTCCAGGGCAAACTGCACCACGTGCTCGGGAGCCTCAGAGGAGGCCATGTCCGCCGCAATGTAGAAGACCTTGGGTGCACCCAGCTTCCGACAGTTCCCTACCACCTGGTGGGTTGGGGGGGAAGAGCTGCCCGTGGGCCTCTCCTCCCTCCTCAGGTGTCTCCCCTCCACCAGATGGCCACATCAAGGATCCTGCCTGAAGCCCCACCCCTGCCTGAGTCCCACTCAACTTCCTTCTCAACTAGCCCAAGGACGAGAACGCAAGAGGGTTTATTTAAGCAAATGCCAGCATTGGGAAACACAGGAGATTTACATCGGTCGAGATTTCTTGCTTAGGGAGAAGCAAGTATAGGAGGTGGCTAAAAGGTGTCTATCCCCTCCCCACCTTTTAAGTTGGAGAACCCTAACAGCACCGGCTGGAATACTAGCAGTATTCCCAATAACCAAGGACCGTTCGGAGCCATCTGCCCAAGCCCCACAGCCTATAGGAAGGTTCTTGAAAGTGCCCAGCAAATGAAGAGACAGGCTCAAAGAAGTCAGGGGACTTTACCCAAAGTCACACAGGAAGCCTGGCTCAATGCAGGGATTGGAGCCCATCTTCCTTTGACCTCCCAAGCCCCCATCAAACAAAGCGAAATGACGTGGCTCACCTTCTGCAGGAGGGCCTCGGTGGGGGCAGTGAGCACCAGGTGTGAGCCCAGCCGGGCGTAGTGATAGGCCAGCTCCTCGCCCACGCCGGCACTGGCCCCCGTCAGCAGCACGCGGGCTCCCCGAAGGCTGGCTGGCACGGAGCAGGGGTGGTCAGCCTGAGGAGCTGGGCAGGATTCTGGAAAATCCTCGGGTTCCTCCCTCCCTCCCCGACATTAACTTACTGGGGTCGAAGTTGTCATCCCAGTAGTAAGCGAAGAGCAGGGCCCCCAGCCCCGTGAAGAGCAACACCTTCATTACCCCTGTGGGTGTGTGGATGGATGGACAGATGGACGGGAGGGTGGGTGGACAGACAGGCGGACACGCAGGTTGGTGGGGGGGATAGTTTGAAGCTGGTACGCAGGAGGAATAGAAGGATCGAACCCCTCGTAGCCCCTCAATCTCGACCCACCTCGGCTTCCCCTCTGGACAAAGGGGCACTGAACCCCTTGCACGCTGGTTCCGCGCACTCACCCGCTCGGGCCTCGGTTTCCCCCGCTGTCCTCTGGGACTGGAGTCCAGGACTAGAACCCACACGAACGCTTTCCCTTGGGCCTCCCTTCCCCCCCACCCCCGCCGAAGCGCGGGGCCAGACCACCGGCCGCGCCCCCTCCCGGCGGGCCTGTCACGTGACTCCGAGACCCCGCCCCAGAGGCGGGGGCCGAGTCGTGAAGATACGCGCTCGGGTGTTGCCAGGCAACGGCTTCCTCCACGTTCCCACCCATCAGCCCCAAACCACGCCTACTCCATCGGAGACCACGCCTCCTACGTGTCACGTGCCGACAGACCCGCCTCTCTGGAACAATCCCGCCCTCGCGTTGTCGTGACAACTGGCTTCTAGCCTTGCTCTTCCAAGTCCGGGTCCTTGGGCCCTCGCGCGGGCTCGAGTGGATCTACCATCTTTCTGTGTCTCCATCAGGATTCACGCCGTACCTCCGACACCTCTTCACCCTCCCTCGTTCACAGACCGGCTGCACTACATTTCCCAGCAGGCTCAGCGGCCCTATCCCACTGGTGACTGCATTTCCCCGACTTTTCTGAATTTCCCAGAAGCCTCTGGTGGTGGGAAGCCCAGAGCGTGAAAGAGACTTCAGCTCCCAGAGGCCTTTGTGCTTACCCCGAAAGACTACATCCCCCAGGGGCCTCTGCGGCGCCGCCACCGGAAGCGGCGGGCGAGTGGAGTGTCCTTGCGCGCGGAGCCGAGCGACCATGGTGGCCCGAATGTGGTCGCTGATGAGGTGCGTGCGGCGCGGGGCGGGAGACCCCGGACCACCCCCCTGCTGCAGGCACCCACCGCCCTCTCGGGTGTGGTCTCCAGCTGCTCTTCGCTTCCCGGGGAGGCCGCCCGGTCCCCGGGGCCGCCGATCGCCTCCCCGCGAACCCTCGGTCCGCTGCGCCCGAGCCGCCGGGGCCTCCCCTGCCTCGTCTGTAACCTGGAAATGCGCCGCGAATCCTGCGGGTCGCGCGTATCCGGAGGTTTCTGTGCGCCCCGAGCAGAGGGTGACGTGCAAGAAGCTCCCGGGGACCTTTAGAAAAGCCGCTGGTTTCTCCCCGTGGCGTCTTCCTGGTGCTGGAAAGCTTCTAGAAGGCCCAGAGTCTTAAATGTCCACTGTCATCATCTCCTCTGTGCTGGGCCTCGGGTGACCCACTGCCCCTTTTCTGGCCTCAGTTTACCAGCTCAAGTGGCCTCCAGGATCCCTGCCCTGCTCAGTGGAAAAGCAGTACTGTGTGTAATAGGGGTGAGGCAACTCTGGCCTCCTAGGGTGCCGTTGCCCATTAGACACCGGGCCGTGTGGGTGTCACTGCACTGAGAAACCCCCACAGCCCCCCAGAGGGTCAAACCTTGCCGGGGATGCCAGCAGTGTCCCAGTGTCCTTCCTTCCTTCTGGCAGGTTCCTCATCAAAGGCAGTGTGGCTGGGGGTGCCATCTACCTAGTCTACGACCATGAACTTCTGGGACCCAGTGACAAAAGCGAGGCCGCACTGAGGAGGGCTGAGGAGGTGGTGCCTCCCGCCATGTACCAGTTCAGCCAGTATGTGTGCCAGCAGACCGGCCTGCAGTTACCGCAGGTAATCGGGTGGGAGAGTGAGGGCCAGGCTTGGCAGGAGGTCAGCTCAGTGGTGGCCTTGGGTCCCTTCAGCCTGGTTGACCTCCTGTCCTAAGGGTTACTGGGCCGCTCATCCTTCCCAATTCACCTGTCCCTGTGCTCCTCTTTCTTCCCAGCTCCCAGACCCTCCAAAGATTAACTTTCCCATCCGAGAGTCCTGGAATTCAGGTAGGCCCCAGCCACCTTCTTGGAGATGACCAGATGACCCAGCCCAGATGCTCTCCTTGGATTCCTTGCCTTTCCTTTCCATGAATCCCTGTTCCTGCTGCTTGTGTGTCTCCCATGGAAGGGTGCGTGGGGATTACCAGGCCAAGGCACTGTGGCGCTTCCTTGTAGGGCTCAGCTGTGTGTTGGGAGTTAAAACCAGAAGGTAATGGGGGGGAGTCACAGCTGAGCTGATCCTGTGGGCAAGGCTGGTCCCATTGCTGCCTCAGTTTCTCTGCTGGAAGTTGTGCCTGTGAGCTTCTCTAGGGGGCTGACCAAGAAGGAGGTAGGGGTCTCACCAGACATCTGGGCCTTCCCTGCAGGCATTGTCAAGGTGATGTCTGCCCTGTCGGTGGCCCCCACCAAGGCTGTCAACTACTCCAAAGAGGGCTGGGAGTATGTGAAGGAGCACACCAAGTAGCCCGATCAGCAGATACCGCCCACCTCGGCTGAACAAGGACACAAACACCTCAGGCTCAAGACCCCACAATCGGGACCTCACTCAGAGCAGCTTCCAGCTTCGCTGGCCCAATAAAGGACTTTGGAAGTGTTCCCCGACCCTGTGCTGGCCCAGGAGGGGAAGGGCGTGGGCTGGCCCCGTGGGACCCAGCTTGACCCTCTGCTCTGCTCTCTGGTCTGTGCCACTTGCAGGGGGCGGGGGAGGGAGAGTCCCAGCAGACTTGGTTACTAGTGGGCTCGGGGAAAGCGGGTCCATTTTGAGGCCGCTGGCACTAGCCCGCTCTCAGGGCTGATGATGTCCTCAGGTAGTAGGAGTGAGGGTTGGGGGACAGGCTTGGAAATAGAGCTGAGCTGGAGAGGGCTCCCATTTCCTAGGAGTTTGGGGGCTTATATGGCTGTGTGGGGCGGATACGGGAAGGAGACAGATGGTACAGAAGAGGTGGATGGAGGCTAGGCAGCTCCCCAGCAGACATCTGTAAACCCACATGAGAGGGCCAACAGTGGCTGCAGCCAGCACCTGTGCTCCACTGTCTCCCGCGTGCTCTCCACGGTCACCTGCCTGGAGGTGGTCACCTTACTGGCCCTTGATGGGTGTAGACAAGGAGCATCCCTGCCCTCTGGCACTGGAGGACCGAGGCACCTAGCTCTAGCCCGGCCTGATGCCTGTTCAGAGGCCTTAGGCAGCCCTGAGGAGCCAGTCCCTCCCCGGGCTCTTGGGATTTCTGATGGGTCTTTGCTCAAGTGTGTTGGGAGGCAGTCCACCCGCTCCCGGCGGCGCACCTATGCAGGGCCTGCTGTTGAGATGGGTATTTGGCAGAAGAGTGCCAGTTGGCTGTTTTTGTGGATCCTCTACAATATCCAGGCAAGCTGACATAGCCACAGCCGGTACCAGGTAGGGGGTTAGGGAAGAGGCGCCTGGCACAGCAGGCCAGGGCTGGCACAGTGTCATCCTTGCAGCTGGAAGTGGTGCTCAGAAGGCTGTACCAATGGCCAGCTGGGCAAAGGGGTGACCACCTGTTATGACATGGGGACTGGACTATAAAAGATGGGGTGGTGTGATGAGTGACACCCAGTGTGAGTCCGCTGCTCATGGCTGCTGTGTTGCGCTCCACCCTTGAGAGGGTGACCTAAGGCATGGACTGACAGCAGAAGCAGGGGTGACGGGAAGACTATGAAGTCGTAGGTCTGGTGTGGGCTGAAGCCAGCACACACAGGCAGATGGCTTGTATCTCCCGCACCCACGAAGCGCAGGCCCCGTCATTAGGCCTGAAAGAACCAGCAGCCCGGGCTGAGTCCCACCATCTGCCCCCGCTATGCTTGTCCAATGGTTGTGGCAGGTGGGAGGAGACCTGCTCTGGGGCCCAGCATTTGTGCAGTGGCCCACAGTGACCCAATGCAGCCCACTGGCCCTCTGTCCGCTGTGACGGCCCAGGTCTGTGGGAGTTCCTGGGGCTGCTGAGGGGTGGGAAGGGCTGCCTGCCTGATGGGCGGGAGGGCGCTGGTGGAGGGCTAGTGAGGGCTGGGCCTGAGCATGCTGCCGGAACAGCAGAATAGGCAGCGTCTGGCTGTGGTACACTGAAGACCTTGGCTTGTTCTTAAAGCTGCTTCGGAAGCCCAGGGCTCGGCAGGCCGGCTCTGGGCCCTCACAGCTTCCGTCCTACTGGCTGGGGTGCTGCGTGCAGCCCCCCGCCCCCACGTTTCATGTCGGTGTCCTCAGTCACCAGTGGGCAGACACGGCAGGGCCACAAGCCAGCCTGGTGCACGGTGTCTGTAGACTTTTAAAACAGGTTTAGGTCAGGCAGACGGCGTGGATACTGCTGGCTCCCATGGCCCTCTCCCTGCAGCCAGCCATGCCTGCCTGTGGCCACAGGGGTGGCTGGCGGAGAGAGGACTTGCCAAGTAAGGGTGTGTGAACAGAAACACCTTTATTACAAAAAAACCGAAGAACAAAAACAAACATTCACATTGTATTGAGCTACAATATGGCAGCAGATAAAAAAAATTATTTGTACACGGTGTCTGGAGGGAATCCTAGGAGAACATACTCTGGACAGGGTGGGCGCGGGCAGGAAGTGCTCAGTAGCGGCGGGTGAAGCGGGCATCGCTGGGTCTGCTCCCCCGGCTCTGTCCCCCGAAGCCGCCCTGCATCCCTCCACGTGGGATCACATGGCCCCGGGAGGCCCTGCCGGGGGCAAAGCCACCACGCCTGGACACAGGGCAACAATCAGACTCCTTCCTCCCGAGGCAGCCCGCCCAGCCCTTTAGTGTGCAGTTCCACTCCAAGGAGGCTACGCAGCACAGAAAGGATCCTACTCACTCTGACATGCCGCCCCGGTTCATCAGGTGGCCAGGTCCCGAGTGACCGGACATGCTCCTCTCACCGCCTATGAGACAAGGCAGCATACGCTCAGCAACTCAGTCCTCAGGGGTGTGGGTCTGGATGCAGGGGGGCGCACAGGGAGCTGCAACACCGTGGCAGCCCCTGCCACGGAGGACTTGGGAGAGCCAGGCAGCCATCTGGCACTGGGCCACACCCTCACCGGGTCCACCAGGGGAGCAGGCTCTGAAGCACCCTATGTCCACCCAGGTAGCAGTGAGTGTCTCCCCAGGAGTCCAGCTGAGGCCAAGCTGGAGCTGGTGTTGAGATCAGGGCTCACCTTGCCACCGCTTGTGATCGCGGTCCATCATGCCGCCTTCAGCTGCTCCCTGCCACACACGGTCATCCTCCAGTCTCCGGCCATGCTCCCCCCACTCACGTCTGCCCCTTGGAGAAACACATCTCTGATGTGGACTGTCCCCCACCACAGGACCCCCTCACTGAGTGGGCATGGCGGGTGTGGCACTGCAGGGTGAGGACACGAACCTCGGGGGTGGGGGGAGCCCCCGGCCTTCACTCATCCTCTTGTCAGAGCCATAGCCCCAGCCATCGCGTGAGTCCCGGCCGTGGCGCTCGGGTCCGCCGTGGCGCTCAGGGTAATGCTGGAGGTGGGAGCAAAGAAAGAGCCAGTGACCCTGGGGCCCGGGGCCTGTGGGGAGCAAGCTGATACAAGTGTGGCAGCCCCGGAGGTAGCCCAAGGCCAGAAAGTCGATGGCCCTCTGGGTGGCTTCTCAGTTTTCTTATGGAGACAGGTGCATAAACCAGCCATGGGCAGCAGTTCAGTTTCCAAGCTTCCCCCGACAGCCAAGGAAGTAACAAGAGCTACAAACAAGGCCCTGCCCAATCTGTTTCCTGCCTTCTAAAAGTGAACAGCCAACCAGTGTCCTACCAGCTCATTACTGCCCACAGGCCCTTGCTTCTGGGCACCCCAGCAGCACCAGCCTGCTGCCTTTTCTGCTCTCCACTCAGGAACACCTGCACCAGGGCAGCCACAGGTACAACCAGAGCCGCACCAAGACACTGCTGTGGTGTAGCTCGCCACTCAAAACGTGAATTTTGGGAGGCAAATTAAAGCAATGCTTAAATTCTAATCCACATAAAAGTCAGGTGGCTGGTGGCTCATGCCTATAATCCTAGCCACTTGGGAAGCTGAAATCTGAGGATCATGATTGGACAAGAAAAGTCCGTAAGATTCTTGTTTCCAATTAACCAGCAAAAAGGAAAAATGGAGCTGTAGCTCAAGCGGTAGCGCAACAGCTATGAGTGAAAAACTAAGGGACAGTACCCAAGCTCCAAGTTCAAGCCCCAGGATTAGCACCAGAAATAAAAAAAATAAATTTTTTTTTTAAACCCAATAGAAATGGACAGAAGCAGGCAGTTAACCTCTCCCTACAATCTCAAAATGTACCCACGCTTCTGACCGAACAACCTACACCACAGTGTCACTGGCACGGGGCAGTGCCGCTATCACAGACACTGAGCTGAGGGCCCCAGGTTGCGAGAAGATGCTGCCCCCATCCACACCCCACAGAAGCACAACATGCTTGGCAGGAGGTAGCTGTGCCGGGACTGGACATTTAGCCCGTGAGCTACATTCTGCACCAAAGCTGGACCACAGACAGCTCTTGGTTGTGCTTCAGATCCATGTCTATCCATCCACCAGAGGGGTGGGGGTAGGGGATGGGGCAGCAGAGGACCTGGGACAGCCCAGTGCCATCAGCCCCAACTGTAGCAAACATCCAAGGAAGGCAAAACGGTCAGGTGGCACACACACTGGCAGGACTCTGGCCCAGCGCCCTGCCGGGAAGGGGAAGGAAAAGGTGTCCTGAGGTGCGGGGCCCCCAGTAAGCATGTGGGAACTACAAAAGTTAACTCTATTGTGTGCTGAGGCCAAAAGCACCCCCTTGTTCCTAAGGTGCCTGCAGGAAGGCCTCACACTGCCACACCACTGCCAGAACAAGCCTGGCCCCCAAAAGACCCCAGAGTGAAGGCCTAGACCAGTGGGCCCGAAGTACACCAAAGCTCAGCACCAGCAGGACAGGCAGGAGAGGGAAGGAGTCCGCTCTGGCTACAGTGGCAGCCCATACATACCTGCCCTTCTCTTTCTCCCATCATTGACCTGGAACCTTCTCTCCTGGAAAAGGGAACTGCAATCACACAAGGACAGGGACAGTGCCATTCCCAGAGTGCATGTACACGGCCCTGTGGCTCCTATAGCCTGGGCAGCCACGAGGCCAGGGAAGGCATGTGCCCGCAACACATACCTGTCCACAGAGTAGTTGGGGTAGCGGCCCCGGTCCCTGTGGTCGAAATCGTGGAAGCGGTCCTGGCGGCTGAAGTCTGAGTGGTAACGTTCATCCAGTGCCGCCCGCTTGGCTTCTGGCCAGTAGGCCTCGTCCCGTCTGTAGGACAGCAGGAGATCAAGGAACCGACCCCAGCCCCACCACCTCTGCAGGGCAGCTGACTTTCACTCTGCTTTGTCTGGCCACAGCCTGTGGAGGGGCCCATCTCACTGGTGGTGATTAGGCAATGAGGGAGTGCTGTCCCTGTCACCCGTCCAACAGAGTGACCAAGTACGCAGAGAGAGGCCTGAGGGGGCCCTGGCTACCCTTAGCCAGCACGCTCACCTGAATCCTCTCAAGCTCACATCTCATCCCATGGCCGAGGTGTGCTCTGTACCAGCACAGTCTACTAAGTGCCCAGATGCCAGCACAGC